GGCGCGGCCCCCACGCCCCCCGGGGGGGGGGCCTGACTTGGTTATCTGGAAAAAAAAAAAAAAAAAAAAGGAGAAATACATCATCAGTCAAAAGAACCTGATGTTACTATGGCGACATAAAGTGATGCACTGACCATCTCTTGCGCAGTGATAGTGATGGCCTTGGAGAACTTCACCATTGTAGTCTGGTAGTCCACAAAGGAGCCCTCAGGTTCAGGGGGGGTCCCCTCACCCAGCTGTGGAGATCAAATCCATAAATTCTTTAATTCTGGGATGTCAAAAGTCAAAAGTTTTAATTGTTGTAACCAACCAATACCTTCTTCTTGGTCATAAACAAATATTATCTTGTTTATTGAGCTAATGTCACCAAACGATTAATTAATAAGCAATTGCACAAAAAAATGTTATTCAGGCGTAAAGATCTTCCTCCTAAGTTGTACTCACCCTGCCCATGGACTCAGCAATGGACTCCACCATGCCCCCCACCATGCCCACTTCACTGGCCGCCTCATTCAAAGTCACCATGATGTCGTCCACAGCCTCCTTCATCAGCTGGGCCGCCTCGGAGATGGCATCGTGTGTGTGGGACGCCTGGGAACACAGTCATGGACGGTCAAGGGTTCTGTGTCCCAACAGTTGATAGGAACTTGTGTTCCATTAGTAGCTTTTTTTTTCTTATTCTTTCTTTAAAAGTAACCATTTTGACACAAAATCTTGATAAATTCTTTCTTTGTAATGTGGTGATTCTTTTTGTTACAATGAACAAAATACAGATAGAAATACAGAGTTAGTGGCCAAAATATTACACCTCTGTCAGATTCATAGATCTGTTGTGAATCTCAATATATTCACTTATTATGGTATTTTTTGTGCATTATTATGTAAATGTCTTTTTGTAAGGGTTCTGAAAGGTAATTTGAGTCTGAGCATAATCTACAGAATGGAGTAACTATTACAGCAGAAATGCAATGAATATCAATGACAACATGTTCTTCTTCCACGTGGAATGCACTTCAATTAAAACAGTAGGATTTCCATGTTGTCTGCCATGGTTACAGAGGTTCACTGTAATAAGGCAGGAGCCCAGGTTACTGAAGTGGAATTCATCATGTGACCACATTATTCTGTGAGGTCACATATCTATAAGACACTGATCTTTTTATGATGATGTACAGATCTGGTTATTATAATAAAACCATGTTGTAACAACAAGACAGAGACGATAAAAACACACATACATCGACCTACTGCTATTATCTCTCAGCAATATACAGAAAAATGTTTTTTATGCAATCATGATTATTAACGCATAACTATGATCATGATTGGTCATGATTATTTACGACACGTTCCACAGCCTCCTTGTGATAAATCAGATTAAAAACTGTAATTGTATGACATCCCTTATTTTTATTGATGATGGGTTAACAACAACAACCGAGACAATATCTGCTCAGTGTTTGGTACCTTTGGGTTTCCGCCGCCTTCTTTGGCAGCGTAGAGCATCTGCAGGGCCGACTCAGACAGAGTCTTGGTCTGATCCAGGATGGTCATTTGCTGCTGGTGGTCGTGGAGTTTTGAAGCCAGTCCCACAGATGCCACAATAAGAGGCTCAAAATAACTGGCCAGCCGTGTGACCTAAAAGGCGAGAGTTTTGGGAGAGCTGTCAGCGCCAGGAATAAATCACATAAAGAAAATAGACGAAATATATTTGTCTCTTCTTTAAATTCAGAGCGGATGCAGCCATAAATAATGAGAGCAGCACCTTGTGTCCTAGCTGGGCAGCTTCGCCTCGGGCTGCGGTAGAAACAGGATCAATCAGGTGCCCAATCTCCTGCACAGAGGATGTCAGTTGCTCCTGGAGCGCCTGGTGAGTTAGGAAAGGCACAGAATTACAATATAAGTCACAACAGAAAGACTTTGTATCCCATTAAGTTCTCTGTCTCAGACCAGATAGAGCCCGTGGTGTACTTTAACTCACTTCCATGGAGATATCATCTCTGCAGGGCAGGGTCTGCCCGACGGCAGCCAGAGACGCTTGCTCAATGTCCCGGATACATTTATTGATACTATCAATACTGGAGTCACACTCCCTCTGTCCTGGTGCCTTGTCCCTGTCATCAGACATATTAAAAACAATTAATATATTTGTAGAAGAAAATAATACCCTGCCATATCTGCTGAATTTGGAGGAAAAATCATACAATTGCTTTAATATAGTAATTATATATGATTGGCTTAGCACTTATTCAGTTATACACTGTAATTATAATGTGATGTGACCACCATTTAGTGAAGCACATCTAATTAAAGCAGGTAAAAGACATTCAATCAGGAGTGTTGTTGTCACATATAACAAGTTGTTTGTTAGATATATTACTATAAAATTGTCATTATATAAATTAAAGTACATTATTTGTGGCAGTTATTTGCGTTCCTAACATTCTAGAAGAAGCTGGTTGCTACATTTTCTGTCTGACTTCTCTCTTTTACAACTGGTAAGTTTCAAGGTTGTTCCAGACATTTTGAGTGTAATTAGTTCTGAACCCCCACCGTTTTCTGGCTGAGTAACTTTCATCATAAAATGCTTAGTAACTGTAACACTCTCGAATAGAGATTTTTTTTTCCTGTTTTGACATCCATATTTGTTCTTACTTCCCTTAGTTTGAATAATGGCTTGTAGGATGGGAATACAAAAAAAAAAAGTCTTGGTTAGAAGAATGTAGAACACTTCAATTTTTAAACATGTTAAATTTCCTTTTTTTTTTAACCACATTTCTTCAATATTACCATCTAAAAGTGTTGACAGTGGTATTAAAATGATAAAATGTGTTTGAGAGCTTCGGTCAAACAGCACAGTTACAGCTCTACGATGTTCTGACATTTCTCTAATCTGTTGCAGGGCAGGACAGTGTCAGCAGCTATATGCTAATGAGACATTTAGCACGTAGGTAAAACCATGTCAGAGTCACAGCAACATCGTGTTTCTGGTACAAATCAGTTCAGTTGATCCAGAAAAAGAAAGTCGGGACAGATCTGTCTGCTGGTGCCTGGTTTTTAGTTTTTTTAACAAACCGTATGGAGGTGATGAGGCTCTTGATTGAGTCAGACACAGTCCTGGAGTGACCAGCTAGTATGGACCAGGTGGGAGGGTCTTTAGGATTCAGAACCAGAGAACGAGCTGTTTCTAAAAGGTAGGTGGAGCTGTCCAGCATGGAGCGGGCTGAACGCACAATCGGCTCCTGCGCTGCTGAGCCCTGTGGAGATAAAGACCACCATCACCGACCATCGTGACAAGCACTGTGGCCACTAGGCAACGACGAGTGGATAAATGGTCTCGACTTTGAAAAAATCCTTCACTCTTTCTGATCAAGTCCAAATCTTCTTTTATTATTACATTAACAAGCTGAAGATTAGAGCAGGTGTGCCTTGAGTGAACGCCATTAAACACTGCTCTCAAACAGATTACAGCCATAAGGCTTTCAAAGGTGTGTTTGATAACTGGCCTGCTTAGACTTTTTGGGCTGTTGAAAAGTGGATTTTCAATTTTTCAAAACAATTTGAGAAAACAGCAACGAATTTGGGGATAAAATCACAGTGATTTGATCTGTAGTAAAATCAGACTAAATCACTAAACATCCATGTGACATTAAACATGGGGTTTATAACTGGACTCTACCTCATTGCTGATCTGAGCTGGGATGCTCGCAAACTCAGGGTTGTTGGCAAAAGTGGAGAGGTTTTCCACCGCCTCGAGGAGAGGAGCTGTCGCCACACGACACCGGGTTCTATTCTCCTCTGAAAAATCTCCATCCAGAGCCTGAAGTAAGACCATTCAACATTTATTTTAACACAGATCCATTTTTAGTCATATTTGTGTGTGTGTGTGTGTGTGTGTGGATGAACCGAACACATCTGCAGGGTTCTTCGGTTGTTGTGAAAAAAATGCTGAAACAAATTCACACTCAACGTTTTGATCGGTTGGGGAGTTGACCTTGATGGTTTTGACAAGGTTGGCTGTGGTGTTAGCCACCTCTTTGGCTGACTGCACAAACTGCCTCCTAGCCACCGGGTTGGAGGTTTTTGAGGAGGCCAGGCGACAGGCGTTACAAAGAGCTGAGGTGTGTTTGGCCACAATTGTTGCTGCAGACAACACCTGCAGAAATAAGAAGCCATGTTGTAAACTTTCTAAAACAAACTTTGTTCATGTACTGTAGGCAGTGTCATTTTCCTGTTTGGACCATTCTTACCTGTGAAGGACTACTGGCTGGGTCAACTAAGTTCTGACATGCCATCTGTATAGCCTGGTGAGCCTTAGCAAACTGGATCGGATCCACCAGTCCCTCATGTCCCGAGTGACTGTTGGGATCTGACACACCAACAAGATAAGACGCCTGGAATAAAAGGAAGACACATTTTGACACTGATTGTGCTATATATATGTGCTGTATAATATATATCTCTTGAACATTTAGTCTTTGTATAATATGAGCTTTCCTTCTACATAACGAAAAAATACAGACAATTATTTTTAAGAAGTATAATGTTATCATCTGCCTCAGAGAGCATGACTCTGATATTTTAAACCTCAACCTACACTTTTATAGATTGTGTGACTGTTTGATCAGTACAGAAGACACTGGTTCACATCATATTCATGACCTGTATTAATAGGTAATGAGTAGGAGACACAAATGTTGTGACTGGGTTAAAAAAAAAAAAAAGGATTAAAGGCAGCCGATCACACCTGTCCTGCAGCCTCAGTCAGCCCACACAGAGCTTTGGACGCCACACCCACGCTCTCCCCAAAGGCGACCACATCACCCGTCTTACAGTGCTGAGAAATACCTGCCATGGACTCGCCGAGCACCTGAGGCCATTTGGAGATGGAGAATATTAGGAAGAATTGGCTCTTCAGCAGCAAAAAGTGCGGCTGAAGGTTTAAATGTCTGGTACATGCAATTATTTTTAAAAACCTGTACCTTTGAATTTTCCATGACGCTCTCGATGCAGTCAAAGTAAGAGAGTTCACTGACAGGCTCGTTGGGATTATCTAAAAGTCCTCTGACAGCCTGGGAAAAGAAAACAGTGCTAACAGAAATGGACATGCCACAAACCTCTGAGTGCATGATACTCATACATTTTTATCGGCTGCGAAAATTAGAGTTGAAAAAGCAAACACTATAAATGTAAATCAAGCAGATTGTAAAATGCTTGCCGAGATAGATTCTAATAACCAAAGCTTCATTATCATTCCTGNNNNACAATGAATCTGTGCATAATGCAAAATATAATGTGTTTAGAACATTTCTAAATTTAATCTGCAATTACAGTGTCTCTGCAGAGGTAATCAAAATAGGCAAGATTAATATGATGCCATTATTTGCTGATGAATGCACACAAAAAAAAAAAAAAAAAAAAAAAAAAAACCCAACCCAAAAAAACCCAAACAATGAAACAGCTCTGAATAGGAGACCATGAGACTGTGTGCTACAGTGTCTGGGATGTTTACCTCCAACTCCCTTAATGCGTTGTCACACTCTTTTTGTCCTGCAGCTTGTTGGGTACAGAGTGTAATTAGCTGGTTAATGCTCTCTGTCACCGCCCTGAAAAACACACACACACACACACACACAGAGAGAGAGAGGCTTTTAGCTCGTACATGTGTCCACTGCATGATCACAGCCTGCCTTCATTCAGCCTCACACATGAGATCAAACAAAAAGACAAATGTTCTTAAAGCCCCACCCCCCCCCTCCTTGCCCCTCCAAGCATGGCGTTCCTGGCCTCTCTGTGCAATGGGCTAACACAGGGCCGCATGAGTGCCAAGATTGTCTTAAGGTTTGTGTTCAGCCTTGCTGAGCACTGACAGACTCTATCCAAAGCTTCCATCTTCCTAATTAGACAGAGAGAAGTCAGTCAAGCCTGAAGCCCTGCGGGAACAGCTGCTTGGCTTCTTTCCACTAGGAGGAAGATACCCACTCCCTGCAGCAATGCTGAGAGAGAGTGTGTATAAGTGGCAAACAGATGAAACTGGGAGACATTATAATAAAGTCCCGAAATCCACTACCTACTGTATTTGGGATAGTGCTGCTTACCCTCCTGACACTCACTGCAGTACGTTTATTCGAAAAAAAAAAGAAATGACACAGAAAGATGCATTTCCTGTGTAATTTGCATCTTATCGCACCTCGCTGCCACAGCTAGGAGATTCTTGGCATTGGCTGCGCCCGGGTCCACAGACAGGGACTTGGCAGCCAGCAGCAGCTTACTGGATGCCATTGAGATATTCTTCAAATTACCAATGACTTGGATCTGGTCGTCTTTGCTCTGCGGGGAGAGAAAAATGCAGGTGAGTTTTCTAAGATAAAGTTACAGCTCTATTAAGTTAAGACAAGTTGCCCTTAAAGGCAACGACTATTGACAGTTATGTAACAGGCATTAATGACCCCGAAGCTCACGTCGTGCAACATCAATTTCAATCTCCGATGATTTCTTCCACATTAATTAACACCAAAGCCAGGACAAGATCTCATTACCTCTGATGACATCAGCACCGAATGTGAGACACTGATACCTTTAACTGTTCCTAATAAAACATCTAAGTTGAGTAGGTAGAAAATAAAACATCTCAATTAGACTGTGTTTTAAGATTCCAGATGTGTTACAAGTTGGATTGCAGATTGCAAATTATCGTCGAACTGCTTCTGATAAATTTGAAGGTGGGTTTGTCATCATGAAACCTACTTGGGTGTGTCCTGCCATCTCAATGCCAGCATCCAGGAATTCATCAAAGTCTTGGCTGAATTTGCCTGAGGCTGCAGCGAGCTGGCTGCTGGTCCCTCGGGAAGAGTGGACAACCTCGCCTGCAGAGTGGTTGAGTTCAGCCGCCGTGTGGTTCAGATCAGTCTGGGCCTCAGTGAATGTCTTGCTGCATGGTGGAAGCTTCAAAAACAAAAATGTACTTTAAACAAGTACTTTATAACAAGTAAATATAACAGAATATGAAAATAAGACACCTGTCTGTCTGAAATAATTATGAACCCCACAGTATCTCTGCACGTTGTTGTTGCTGCACAAAACAGATGGTTAAAAACCTCGTGAAAGTCTCACCATGTCAACCAGCAGCTTCTTGCTGGCTTCTCCAATGCTCCTCAGAGCCATATCAACGTCCTTCTGTCCTGGCAGGCAATTTACACAATTATTCAGGGAGTGGGACACAGCTTTGGCCACCTGAAATTAAAGACAACAGCAACAGGTCAAAGGCATTCCATTAGTCATTTTCCCATTCAACTGCAAAAAGACAAATCCTCAGATCGGGATGAGGAAAGACAACGGGCTCATAGCAGCGCACAGTAGACGATGTCATGATGAGATACATGCAAAACAATGTATTTATGCTCTGTGGAGCCTCAGTAAAATTTCTTTTTATATTTGGCTGAGGAATGTCGAGATAATTTATATGATACAATCTTCACTTTAAATACGTAAGAGATTTCCTGGAGAAGTCAATTTTGCGAATTGGAACCTTAAGACAAAATAGACTTCCTAAGATGAGAACATTTTGAAGGGAACATATTTCTCTAAATTGCTGGAATTCAATGCTGGAATTGCATCTTCCTCAATAACAGTCTCAAAATCGTTCAGCATAACCAAATAGATAATAGCATTGTAGCAGCATTTGTGGAGGTAAGGGTTGAGATTTGGAATTTGAACTGATCCAAACCGAGCATCATGTTTCACCTGGGCCAATCTCTGCTGACTCTCAGCATCTCCTGGATGAACCAGAGCCTGATGGGCTTCGTGGATCAACATGGCTGAGCCCTCCATGACACACTGGGCTGAGTCGAGCATCGCCGCCGCAGCCTGTGGCTCCTTGGTGCTGGCGGCCACACCTCTGGCTGCTTGAGCCAATGTCCTTAGAGCCAAAGCTGTTTCTCTGGCTGCTACACCTGCAAATGCACAACCAGAGATAATGTCTCAACAATAAGAATGAGAATGAGAAAAAAAATGACACAATTAAACGGCCTTACATCAGCCCCAAACAAGAACCGTACAGTTCCAGGAACTGGAGCTGCAGACGCACTCCTGCACGTGTTACGGTACAAGTATATTATTCTACAGAAGCCGAGAGAATTCGATGTTCTTCATCTTCTCGGCAGTTGTGGAAATTGAAATAGTCACCACGCTAAAGACCTCAATTTCAGACTCATTACATTTGCTTTGCAGCATTACGCTTAAGCATTAAAAACGGAGGGGTAACAACGGCAACAGTACTGTGGAAATGAGCTGGCAGGGCCCAGCAGTACCCCACTGATACTGAAATGGCCTGATTGTTTGAATAAATTAGTTAATACAATAAAGATGCCCCCCCCCCACGAGGGAGGTGCCCTTAACTTATTAAACATAGGGCTGAGAGAAAGGAGAAGCAAATTACATCAGCTAGCCAAGTGAAGCCATTTGCTGATGGAATGTTAAATGTAGTGAAATAAGATTAATGAGTTGTGAGCAGCACCGTGGGCCATGACATGAAATCCTGGTCGGGGGCGTCCATTGTTAGAAATGTTATTCCTTTGCTCTCTTTTTTTTTTTTTTTGCTTTGTTTTCATCTCCCTCCCCTGAGATCTTCACTTGGGCCAGAATTAATGGGGAAATGATCCAAGCATGCTGGGTAAAAAAAGACTTGGTTTATGGCAGTTCCACCAACACAATTAAAGCAGCATTCATGTCATCTGACACAAACACTCGCTCAGGTGTTTTTGAAGCCATAATATTTCCAAATGGCATTAGGTTTAGATAAATTACCTTGAGATCTACTACGCATCATTTCACTCCACTGTCTGTTACCTGTATAATGTTGATTGCCTTGTGCAGCACACGTTAGCAGCTGAGCCATGGAGGAACCCACAGCCTTAGATGTACTTCCCAAATCCTGGGCACATTTTTCCAACTGTACCAGAAACAGGATAGAAAATAAAAAAAAACAGTGGTATTCACATGTCAGGATTGCATCATGATGTTAGTGGTTAATAGTTGGACTGTAAAAACATATGCCGTATGTCGCTGTGTACTCACTGTTTCTCCAGGAAGAGGTTTGAGTTGGGCATCGATCACAGACATCTTGGCATCCTGGAGCTCACTCTTGAGTGTCTGGACCGTTTTGAGAGCGGAGTCAATCTCCAGAGGACCGCACGCTTCGTGGGCCTTCAAGCAACACACACACACACACACACACACACACAAAAGCAAGGATGTCCATGTGGACTTTCCGTCCATTACACAGAGACAACAGCATGTACAGCATCAGTGAGACACAGCCTTGTATACAGTATAGACACCTTCTGGGTGGCGGTCCTGAGCTCTGCCAGGCAGGTAGCCAGGTTCTTGGCACATTGGCCCAGTTGCATAGCAGCTGCCTGGTCAGCCACAGTAGGAACTGCTGACTTGGCAGATGTCACCATCTTACTTCCAGGCTAAGGAAACAACAACAGCAGCAGCAACAACAACAACAACGACAACAACAAATGTATTAATATAAACAGCTGGATTTGTTTCTCGGCTGCACGTTGGTGAACAGACTCACCTGTAAGAAGCTCTGGCTGGCCATGATGAGGGCGAGCTGAGCTCCCAGCTCCTCAGGCTGTGCCTGGCTGCTCTTCATACCCTGCACCAACTGGGGAATGCTATCTGCCACCGCCTGCATTTAACAAACAGTATCCATGTAACTATTATTTTTAAAATAAAACACATTTAAGAAGAATATACATAATAGTTATGTGGTTGAAAATACACTGTGAGAAAAGTAATTACACTACCTTGCAGCTGTGCACGAGTTGTTGGTGTGAAACTGTGTTTTTATTCGAAGCCGCGGCATTCTGTGCAGCTGCGATGGTCTGAGTGGCAGCTGCTGCAGCCTGCTTTGCTGCAATCTGTTAACGAGATACAAATACATGTCATTTAGGCAAAAGAAAAGGATCGACAGCTGGCTAAGAGGGATTGTTTTTAAATGTATAATTCAAGTCTTCTGCTAAATGTGATAAAAAAAATAATAGAAAAGCATTCAGCATTGACATTATCACAGTGGCGCATCGTGTTGTGTGAGTGTGTGTGTGTGTGTGAATTTTTTATATTTTACATTAGTGATTTCATTAACTTACTTACTAACGAAAGTGCTCCAGGAAACATGGAGTGAAATGAAAAAGCTTGTTAACAGGAAAATGGATCTGGGATAATTATTATATTTTCACTTTTGGATTCATGGCCAACACGTTTCCCTGTGTAGGCGACCACAGAGGCAGATGAGAGAAACAGTACTTTATGTCTGATACTATGATCATCCAAGGTTCAAATTTAGAACGCCATATAGAGCAGGGTGAGTTGGTTCAACGCCATCCCCATTTTTACATGCTCTACCTAGAAAATGGGACAAAAAGGATTCGTCCTTGTTATTCTCATTCTTGACCAGATGATCAAAAAATCACAACAAATTCCAGCTGCTGTTGAGATTAATGATGTTTTCTGGTGGCACTTTGGTATCTGACAATTCATTTTTAAACTAATTAAGATTTTTTAATTAAGATTAATTAATTAAGATTTTTTTGTTACAAAATAATGATTTTTTTTCACTTGTCTTTATTCTAACCTTTTTAATGTCCACAGAGTAGCAGAAACATACATTTCGGACATTCTAACACCGCAGTGTTATTTTTACAATACAGAAAATTCTGCTTTCGATGTCATTCTTAAGAAGAACACATTATTCAGGGTTTAACATAATATTAAGGAGCAGAAAGCAGTGTTGGCTAAAGGACCAAACATCACTGTACGCAGACACTTTTGCTGTGGAGGAGGCTCATGATAGAAGGCTGTGTTCTGATTAAGGCCAAGTAAGGAAAAGATGAGAATATGCTGACTGCTATGACTCACCTCCAGCCTGTTGACCAGTTTTTTCTTAATCGCATTCTGAGCTGCAGCATTAGTGGCGACACGGAGCCCCTCGGCCGCCTCTCGGAGCCGCTGCTGCTGGTTCTCATTCTCTGGATAAGCAGCCGCCCCCTGAGGGCGGACAAACACACAAACACATTACCTCACAGATGCAGATGGACTCAAAAGACCAAGGACACATGAGCAGCACATACAGCAACCGCTAACCAGAGAATGCCACGAAAGTTCAACAGCTGCTCTTAAATGATGTAGAGTAGATAACAGAGACATTTGGCTCTGTCTCTGCTTTCTGACAGTTTCCAAGGAAACCATCAGTGTCAGAATACCACTTCCTTTTTTAATAAAGGCAGTGACGTGCTAATGAAAGTGTCAAGAATCCAAAAACATCAACGTAGTACGAACTGTGTTTCACATACTTGGGTTTTTCAAATTATTAAGTCGACAGTACAAGATAGTGATTGTGCAACCTTTTACTGCAGCTGTAAAGTGACTCTGGTAGTTAGAGCTCGCCGTAATGACAAAATGACTATTCTGTCAAGTGAAAGCAATACAGTTCATTTCAACACTGCACTGGCTCCGAGATCAGACACAGTAATGGGGAATAAAAGAGAAAACAAACTCATCACATCTTTGGTGGATAAAGGTCATAATTATTACATCACTGCTTAGGTAAGTGGAACATAATGCAATGAAACACAGCTGCTTCTATTTAAGCACATATCAACCCATATGATAGACTCACATTCCAGTCTGGTGGTTACACTCATCCCACCCTTACCTTTGCAGCTTCAACCATCCGTGCTGTAGCATCTGCCAGGAGTTTGGCTGCAGCCAGGAGTTTCTTAGAGCTGTCCACGTCAACTTCCGCTTCTGCATCAGACCTCATGGCGTTCACCAAGTCAGAAGTGGCTTGGGCCAAAACCCTGGCCTGACGCACCATTTCACCTGTAGGCACATGGAAGAATCATGAAAAAAACATCAGGGTTATCTAGAGGGGACGTGTTGGGTCTCTGTCTGTCCATTGGGCCACAGAGTGGGAAATGGTTAGTGTCCTTGCTTAATAGCAAGAAGGTTACCAGTTTGATGCCTGGTGGTAACTGTCTTATTGTGTGTAATTTGTATGTTGTCTATGTGTGCAGTCGTAATACTGTGAGTACAGTATCATCCCACAGTCCAAATACATGCACGGTCAGGTCAGTGACTAACGAATCAACATGAGGTTTAAATCTACACCAATTTTCTAACAAACAAACAAATAAATATGTTTTATGCGTTAGCGTTCGAGCAGGTCTTTAAGCTGATTTGTATCATCACAACAGGTAAACAACAAAGCCTCGCAGTAGAGGTGTCCTCGACTTGAAAGCGCTTTAGTTTTTTAATTATAAATCCTCGTGTACTTCCACAGCTGTAGCATTTCCCGACAGTCATCTGTTCAAACAAACTTAACTTTTCAGAATATTTATGTAACAGCCCCCAAACACCTGCTATAAAAAACTTGTGTTTCCCAAACACCCACAGGCAGCTTGAAATAACTCACCCAGAGCAGTCTATAAGAGCTGAGATACCTGAGTGCTTTACAACCTACATCCTGTGGTCTAGGAAATCAACAGCCTACCTAAAATATAGCCTACCTAAAATATTAATAATAGAAAAAAAAAAAAAAAAAAAAAAAAAAAAAAAAAAAAAAAAAACTAACATTCCCCAACTGTTCATTCTTTTAATTCCTGCATTTTGGTGATTTATAGAAGACGATAGTTTGTCCTCTGAGAGAAACACCCAGGTCATGTGTTTCCTTTTAAGTTTTCAAAGCCTTCATGATGTTGATTGGGACCAGACTTGAGGCTCTGTAGTGGTTTTGGATGACATGTTTCCTGCAACCCCTTGAGAATTGGCCGGGTTTAGGAATTCTTCAGCTACATGGCTTGAACCATAACAAATAGTCTGAGCTCTAAAAATGTCCAAGCCGGGGTACGCTGTTAACTTAATATAGACAATATCCTCTGGGTCTGTAGTGCAGTCAAAACACTGGGAATGTTCACTGTAATCAAATAATAATAATAATAATATAAAGACCTGTTTGAGTTGGCAGAGTCAGATGAATTAGGGGAACATCAAATAACCTGTACTCACCAGCATCACCCATGGAGGTGAAAATGTTTTCTGTAACATTCATGATGGTGTCTGTAGCCTGGTCGTAACGTCCGATTGGCTCTCCGCAGCTGGCGTAGTGACGGACGTGTTGCAGCAGGTCGCTGAGAGACTGGCTGGCCACGCCTGCCCCCGCCCCCCCCCCCCTCCG